TTCAGTAAATGACCACATTTGTTGTTACAGTTGTCTGTTTTATCAGGCTACATCACTATATATTATGAAACTCTGCAATCAGTGTTTTGCATGAACGGCATTCCCTGAATATGTTCCTGTTTTAGTTAACGGTGAACTGAACGGATCCGTTTTGAAGTTGATTAAACGTGAATGAGAGCGACGTTCACTCTGAGAATAATGAGTGACACACACAACTCACATTCACGTTTAGTTAATAACAACACATTTCATTGGATAATGTCAGGTTTTACTTTACTATTACAGCAAACAGCATGACACACCAGCATGTTTACTGCTAGTACTATTCTGCACGATTCAGACTCATCTGTTGGTATTTCTGATGCCAGTTTTGCAGAGCGATTAGCAGAGTTTTATCAACTAACAAAGGAAGACCCGGACAGAAGAAAACCTGAATGTTTTTGTGTGAACTGCGCCCACCGGGAATGAACAAACAAGTCCGTATGTCAGCTATGTCCATTTCCAATTTAAAGTGACTAATCGCATTAAAGCATCTAAGCTATTTGGGGAAATATCTGCTACTGAATTTGGAGCGTAAGAAATCATTCACAGAAAGAGAAAAGACATCTTTATAGCAGAACCTGAATGTTCCTCTATGTTTCTGAAGTTCTGTGTAATTTGGCTAAATAAAGAATTCACTGTACATACAGTATACTTTGACTGCATTAAGTAATTTCCATTTCTTTCGATATATATATTATTATCACACATTTAGAGGATGAAGGTTAATTTCTGTAGGATTGTGGCTTAATTTACCAAATGAACTTAAACTAGTTAATGTAAATTTGTGAACTTATCGTCAGTACCCAGGGGACACTGGTTTAATTTGTTGTCATTTTGTTAAAAGAAAGAGTAGTCAGTGAGCTCTATGTGAGATCAAGCTACTTTCAAAATGACATCTGGAACAGAAAACGGGTGGAAAAGTCCAGAAAGGAGGTTCAGCAACATGTTGCTGTTTTAAACTCTTGTACATGTAACTGTAAGACTTCCATTCATTTCACTTCATGGCAGCTCCTTGGCTTTGTTGTTACATAAAATGTGGAATATTTGAGTTTGAGTCTGTCTGAATTCATCATGTTAGAGTTTCACTGTTATTATTTTAATGTTTATGAGATGGAGATGGTCTGGAGATGTACAGTACAGTAAACCTTTGCATTTAAAGGAGATTTAAATGAGTCTTGTGTCGTGTTGGTTGCTGGTGTACTAATGTTAGGCATTTATATCATACATTGCATCTCTTACCTCCATCAGTAGTTTTCATTGACACCACTTGTTGATCAAAGGAATTTTAAAAGTTTTTTTATTGTATTTTTACTTACTGCAAACTTTACTACTAAGTTCCATGTGAATAAATGACCAGACACAATGCTGATGAAGATTCTCAGTCATCCAGGTCATAGTCATTCTGTAAAAGTAAAAAAAAAAAATCCACTGGACTTGGTTTTCAAGATTTGAAGACGTTTCGCCACCTCTCCAGGAAGCTTTCTCTATTCAAATGTCTGGATCCGCAGTGAGTTTGAGTCTTATATAAACAAAGCCTTGTATCGCTTGGAAACATACAAATGGAAACCGATGAATGGGTTGTTTGGTTCCATTGTTAGCCTGTAATATCTGAACCTGTCTATGATACTAGGGGTGGGTCATAGACAGGTTCAGATATT